AGGTCACCTCTACCCTCTATGTACGGAGGCTACATCAGGTCATCTCTCCCCTCTATGTACGGAGGCTACATTAGGTCACCTCTCCCCTCTATATACGGAGACTACATCAGGTCACCTCTCCTCTTTATGTAGTTTTGATTTTAATAGTTTTAAATGCAACGACTCATGAACTAATTAAAGAGGTACTGAGTTAATATAAATACCTTATAATCGTTAATCTAAGTAATCTAATATGATACAGCTTGGGTTATTGTGGCAGCAATGGCACTACAAACGAACGCGTCTCTCTCGATAACGTAAGGTATACGTAAAGTCTGGGGACCCATCTCTACCAAGGGTTGTTGTTCATTGTGAGTGTAGGGAATTACAAATCTGGGTAGAGATTGGTCTGGTGACCTTAAGTAGCCCTGTGACGTAAGTCATCCTGGTGACCTACTTGTATGGTAGTCTCGGGTATCCTAAGGTAGCCCGGCTCAGGGGGTTGCCACGAGAGTTGGTAAAGGTTACGTTGTTAATTAGATAAGATAGTACTAATACTTAAGGTCACTATATGAACTGAAGTAGCCAAGTATCGTCTGGCGACCGCATGTCATTCAAATGACATTTGCCAACTGTAATTTGCTACCCCAAGTAACCGGCTACTTCAGGTCACCGCAAGCAACCTGAGGTAGCCACAGTATTTAAAGGAGAGAAAGGTGACCTACCCGAAATAGCCACAGCAAATATTCCTACTCAAACATACGTACACTGTCAGTCTACCCAGACAGGTCATATTTGATATTGACTAAATATTTTTCGCGCGGTCAGGGAGTTGAGAAAGAATATATCTGCTGTTACCGAGCCACAAAACCGCCCAAAGAAAATCTGCTGCACCCATTGCAAGATTCGGGATCTTCCCTACTTCCTATCCTAACGACTTTTCTGTTTCTTACCGCCTTTTTTGGAATTACCTCACATTTGGCCCAATTGATGAACGTTCGTCTATGTTAGGAAGGCAATGGGATCTGTCCCCGGGTCGGGACATACACAAGTCCTTAAAATGGTAGCTTTATTCTCTGCTTAACGTTCAGCATCTAGGGCATTTGCAGCAATTCGTTTATCCATTGTCACTCAATACTGTCTAAAAAATGAATTGCGACCTAGCAAAGGCCACGGCGTACATCCTTGTCGTAAAGGTAATCAAAGTCACTTTGCTGTTCGTTACGACATAACACTTCTACTCATGTTTCCATGACTTGTACGGTATGTACTCTGTCACTCCATAAGACAAATTTCAGATCTTGTCTGATGAAGGTGACAGAGTACATACCGTACCAGTCATCGAAATGTTACATAGAAACACGTATAGGTTGTGCAACAAGAAATCTTCATAAGCCATACTTACCAACCTGAAGAAAACGTTTAGAAAAAGTATGATGTATTTCAGTACACAAGCTTTCAGGCAGGGTTTTAGTTCCGTCGTCATCCCAACATTGTATTAGAATGTTTACATAATGCATTGTCTAATAATACGGTGGCAATGCTCCTTCTTCTAATAGCCCATGTCTGAATGGTGTAGTCTTAACCACTTATAACACTATACAAACTACCTTAGCTTTATCGTACAAACACATGATCATTGCTTTACAACTGGGAAACAACATGTGCCAGATTTTGTCCTTGGCAATAGGTTTTCTTTTTATAAAGTTTCAATCCGATCATTTAACACCATTCCACCCGACATTTTAAATCTCCAGTTTGTGGTTACCACATCAGAATCTGTTTATTGCTGTTATTATTTTTTGGTCTATCACCTCTCGATAACATTGGAAAATAAATGAGATACAATAGAAAACAACGATGTGTGTGGCTAGACCAAGTTTCGAACCCTGGACCTCAAATTGTTAAACTGCACTCCAAACAATTGAGCTGTCTGGTAAACATAAGACACAACAACGTAAAAACCACAATGGCATTCTCTCCTGCAAGTGGGACAGGGTTCCATCAGATAATATCAATTTTTCAATCAGAACACAAAACTGTAACTGTTTTTACATGATTTGATGACGATAGAGACACGTCCACGACTTATTTTTCCGAATAACATATAGATCTCTATTAATGGTACTTTTTGCTAATGCGTATAGTAGAAATGCATTACCAACAGGTTACTGTAATCTCTCTTTCTACAGCGACATTGTTCTGCTTGCATCTTTTTGGCAACTTCCCTCCATTCTACAGGATGATTTGGTAAGGACTTTTGCAATAACAAAGTGCAATGGATTACTTCTATAGTTACTTGGGTCCACTATGTCAACTGGTTGTGTGTAATGGAAGCATAAATGCCTCGCTCGAAGCATCAGAAAAATGCCGGGTTCAAAAATATAATCGCACAATGTGTGAAGATGTTCCAACAAATCCCATGTGGACCTGTAGCTTTCCCATGTAGTAACCCCTTTATCATATCGTTACTAAATATTACCTCTCCATCTAGTAACCCCTTTATCATATCGTTACTAAGTACCCCCTCTCCATCTAGTAACCCCTTTATCATATGGTTTCTAAGTATTACCTCTCCATCTAGTAACCCCTTTATAATATCGTTACTAAGTATTACCTCTCCATCTAGTAACCCCTTTATAATATCGTTACTAAGTATTACCTCTCCATCTAGTAAACCCTTTATCATATCGTTACTAAGTACCACCTCTCCTTCTAGTATCCCCTTTATCATATCGTTACTAAGTACCATCTCTCCATCTAGTAACCCCTTTATCATATCGTTACTAAGTACCACCTCTCCATCTATTAACCCCTTTATCATATCGTTACTAAGTACCATCTCTCCATCTAGTAACCCCTTTATCATATGGTTTCTAAGTATTACCTCTCCATCTAGTAACCCCTTTATCATATGGTTTCTAAGTATTACCTCTCCATCTAGTAACCCCTTTATAATATCGTTACTAAGTATTACCTCTCCATCTAGTAACCCCTTTATCATAGCGTTACTAAGTATCACCTCTCCATCTAGTATCCCCTTTATCATATCGTTACTAAGTACCACCTCTCCATCTAGTAACCCCTTTATCATAGCGTTACTAAGTATCACCTCTCCATCTAGTAAGCCCTTTATCATATCGTTACTAAGTACCACTTCTCCATCTAGTAACCCCTTTATCATATCGTTTCTAAGTACCACCTCTCCATCTAGTAACCCCTTTATCATATCGTTTCTAAGTACCACCTCTCCATCTAGTAACCCCTTTATCATATGGTTTCTAAGTATTACCTCTCCATCTAGTAACCCCTTTATAATATCGTTACTAAGTATTACCTCTCCATCTAGTAACCCCTTTATAATATCGTTACTAAGTATTACCTCTCCATCTAGTAAACCCTTTATCATATCGTTACTAAGTACCACTTCTCCATCTAGTAACCCCTTTATCATATCGTTTCTAAGTACCACCTCTCCATCTAGTAACCCCTTTATCATAGCGTTACTAAGTATCACCTCTCCATCTAGTAACCCCTTTATCATATTGTTACTAAGTACCACCTCTCCATCTAGTATCCCCTTTATCATATCGTTACTAAGTATTACTTCTCCATCTAGTAACCCCTTTATCATATCGTTTCTAAGTACCACCTCTCCATCTAGTAACCCCTTTATCATATGGTTTCTAAGTATTACCTCTCCATCTAGTAACCCCTTTATAATATCGTTACTAAGTATTACCTCTCCATCTAGTAACCCCTTTATCATATTTTTACTAAGTATCACCTCTCCATCTAGTAACCCCTTTATCATATCGTTACTAAGAATTACCTCTCCATTGAATTTGTCACCGATGGACAAGTTCTTGACACTGAAAAATTCCATTGTGTGAATTAGATCGTAATGAAAACCACACAAAACTAGCATAGAATAATAGAACGCTCATCCCTTCGTGATGTAGACGGAGATATCTCAAGAAGCGGGTAAAAGTTTTACCATTAAGCATACCTTGCCGAGCACTGAATGTCAAAAAAATGTCTCCTTCTTGGTAAAGCAACTCCAACAACCCTGGTGGAGAATAAAATGGTCTGGGGTGGATGTTGCGGTATCTGTGCTGTAGCATTCAAGTGAGTTGGCACTATAGATGATACCGATGGAAGCACGGTCCCAATACAAACAGAACACAATATATCTTCAGCACACACGCAGGCATACACATATAGGGAGATATTAGCCAGGTGACAAAAGACTAGTAGTCAGCGCCTGATAAGGCAGCACCTGCGATTTCCTCAAAATTGCATTGATTAATGTATATGCTAATCGTATTAATTGTATATCCATGCACTGTAAAGCGCTTTAGAGTGGCTAATGCTAGCTAGATAGGGCACTATATCAAATGCTGTATATACTAAAGCAGAACAGTCGGGAACATTTCACGTGTTACAGTAAAAACTTGACACTTTATTGAATAAATGAAAAGTACTTATACAATAACTCGTATTATATTTTAATAAATATTAAAGTTGAAATTTTATTGAATAAAAGAAAAAAACCTTGTACAACATCTCGTATCATATTTCAATAAATGAGGCACAACATTTAAGTTGAGATTTTATTGAATAAAAGGAATAAAAGGGAAAAAATCTTGTACAACATCTCCTATTTTATTTTAATAAATGAGGCACACAATTTATCAAATTCATTTTGTCTAAAACGCGATCGGACATACACAACTTGTTTGTATTGTGTATGTTACTGTATATTGATATTTACCTAATTAAACTAAATTATTTGATGTATATATGTCCTGTCCTGTTATGTAACGGTGTTAGTAGTTTCACCATATTTCTCTATAAAAGTTGGAATGGTATGAATTTAAATAAATGATGAACTTGGAAACGGTCGGGGTACATGTACATCATATTTCGAGGAAGTAGTTCTGAATTTTCATACATTCGTGTATACCAATTACAATTTATGTCACCATGTTGATCCATCTGGTACGTTAATTAGTAATAAGTTAGCAAAGCAATATTACAGGAGAACATCAAACACACGTACCAATATATATCAGAGTTGTCGTTCCTTACACTATGGACAAAACCATACGCGCGGGGGAAATTTACGCGGACGACCCAACTCCGCGTAATAAGCGTAAAATTCCCCCGCGCGTAAAATTCCCCGTTTACAGTATGTTGAACAAAAACAACTGGAACATTTAATTTATGTACTATTCCAGCGAGGACATAATGAATTTGTCACGATAACATATAAATAGCAAAAGTTCTTGTTTCGTGAAAAACATACTACTCACATTTTCATCAAAAGCTAGTACTTCCCTTTACAGTTTACTATAAAATATCAAATAAACAAATGCAATGCATCATATTTACCATTTCAAGAAAAATGTTTTGTTAATTTGAAGGTTATATTTAACAACCAACGTAAAGTAATACACTCAAGTAAAACACAATAATTTTTTGTCGTTGAAAACATTAGTGCGTTTCTCATCAATCAACATGTTTGAACAACATGAAACAGCGTTTTGAATAATCAAAAGCAACTCTTTTATTTGTCATTGTTTTGCACCGATCTTTTGAATAGGAGCCACTTCGCACTTTGACCCCAAACCTCCACACTGAAGATCACCATTTGGGGTTCCGGGTTTCAGACAGCTAAAGCAGAATTTATGTTTACATTTTGGACAATCCATAGTCTTACATCCACCGTCATGTTCGATGTACATTTCACATTTTGGGCATGCGCGAACTTTTGGAACATTTGGTATGTTGCTATATTCCATCGTGACCCGTTCGCAGTTATCAAGTAATTTTTGTGTGAGCTTTCTTGGTGTGGAACAAGAATGATTTCTTGTCCAAGACTCATTACAATCCCAACAAAAGGAATATGACTTTCCACTTTTACTACAAATCGTACACATGACCTGTCGGTTATTTGTATCCCGTCTTGTACAGTAACTATTACATTTCGGACAGTCACGGATGTCATCTGACTGGTCGATGTAGACATTGGTCATTTTTCTGGAGAAAAACACGCATTCGTCGTCAGACATGTCAGCTTTAATGGAAATTTCTGTAAACTCCCATGCGGTACTGCACTCCATACATTTAAACCCGAGATCACAACTGTTGAGTTTGGTCAGGCAGTACCTATACAGATTCTCCGGGGCTGAAATACAATTCAGAAAAGTACAATGAAGACGAACCATCAAATAGCAAAATTGAACGATATCTTCATTTGTTGTATCATTACAATTTAAATTTAAACGCATGCATACTAAGCCTCATCAATGGCAATAAAACAGGATAAATATTCATTAGTTTGATGCAAGTTTTCTATAAAAAACAACTAAATGCATCATGCAAATACAGCCTCACTTTTGCTCTTTACACCCCTGGGATATGTAATAGCAAAATCGAAGGCTCAGTGTGTACCATTTTGTGGACGAGACAAGAAGACTAGCTTGATCCTACGATGTACATCGAAAGAATCTGTCTCGTACCGGTAAAATAGGGTGTCTTTGAAGTCGAATGTCGCTCCTCTGTAATCTTCAAAGGACATGTATCAGACTGGCGATTGGTCAGGTATTTTTACATGAGACCAACAAAATAGCTAGCCACGTGTCATTGGTTTTGCTATGAAATATTTCAGAGGTGCAGAAGCGAAAAGGAGCGTAAGCCCTCGAGAATCGAGGATGGAAATAGGTCTGATCGTTCCCACTGCATGCTCGTAAGAGGTAACTAATGTGTCCCCCGCATAATCTGGAATTTTCCAAGTACTAATTGCAATGGGGGACCATTACAGAAGTCCCCCAAACCCCCACAGTTATGTTCACTTTGCCCTAATACCACTATATACCAATTTTCATCAAAATCGAACAATATTCAAATTTCGACCAATCAGAAGCCTCCGTGTGGTTGCTATGGCAACGAAACCAATGCGGTTAAATTCGCAATCCCCTAATACCCCTATATACCAATTTTCATCAAAATCGAACAATATCTAAATTTCGACCAATCATATTAAGCTCCCGTGTTGTTGCTATGACAACGAAACTAATGCGGTTGAATTTGCAGTCCCCTAATACCCCTATATACGAAAAAGAAGAAGATGATGAAGAAGAAGAACAAAATAAAAAAGAAGAAGAAGAAGAAAAAAAAAGAAGAAGAAGAATTAATTGTAATGGGGGACCATTACAGAAGTCCCCCAAACCCCCAAAGTTATGTTTGAAGTGCCAAATAGATCTTCATATGGAATTTGAGCAAAATCGACCAATATTCAATTTCTACCAATTAGAGGAGAACAATAATAATGATAATAATAATAATAACAAGTACTAATTGTAATGGGGGACCATTACAGAAGTTCCCCTAACTGCCCCCCATAGTCACAAAGATACAAAAATACACCTACATACTAAATTTGAGAAAAATCAACCAATATCTAATTTCGACCAATCAGAAGCCGTGCCGGCCATCTTTGGTGTCCGATCGGAAAATGAAAGCTTATTTGTACACCCCTTTACCATGATGAACACTTGTGTAAAGTTTCATTAATTTCCGTCCAATAGTTTTTAAGAAATGTGTCGGGCAAAATTAAGGCGGAGCAAGAAGAACAAGAAGAATAAACGGAGTAAAACCAATAAGTCCCCCACTTCGTTTGGGGGACTTAATAACAGGGTCATTGAAAATAATATAAATATTACCAGAAAAAAAGACTGGATGATAATTTAACTTGGTATCATCAAGTCTTGTCAAAATTAGATGTCAAACCAAGTCTCGATTTTTTATATTCTTTTTCTTTTTTTAAATGTCATGTTATGCATTTTTCTTGTATGTACTTTGTTCGTTTGGACATTTTTTGTATCCGGAAAAAATCATGATTTTCAGCACCCAGGAAGTGGTATGGCCGCATTTTCAAGGATTCACTGTATATATATATTATACTTACTTGCTGCATGTCCACATGACATTTCCACACGATCCCCGTCCGCCATTGAGCCTTCAAACATATCTCCCCTTTTCGTCTTCTTACCAAACGGTATACGCCTGGACTTCCGGTGAACCATAACTTCTGTGACGTCACCATTTCTGGGGACATCCTGGTCGGCTGTCAAAATCATTGTGTTATCGATGACATCTATTTGGTCGGTAACTATATCAAGTGATTTGCCCACAGCAGATTTGACTTCACGAGCTGTCGTCGGTTGTTTCTGTGAAATGAAATATTTGGTTCCACATGCATGCAAAGGAATATGTTGGTCACTTAGCGGTAAAATTGACTGGCTCTTAAGTCGGGTGTCGGTTCTTGTTAAACTTCAATGGACAGGTTTCAGCCTAGCTATTGGTCAGGTTATTTTACCTAAAACTTATCAAATAGCTTACCACGTGACTCCAATTTTACTTTGATATAATCCAGGGGTGCAGGGAACGAAAGTGAGCGTAGTCCCTGAAATATCGAGTACGTTAAGCAATCTATAGTCCCTAGAAAAATGACGCTACGAAAGTTATAGTCCAGAGGGAAACGACGTCACGTCAGGTTTAGTCCTTGGATAACGACGTAAAACAATGTTTCACGTCCGAAGGAAATATATAGTTCCTAGGAAACGACGTCACAGAGGTATAATGCCAAGAGAAAAGTTAAGTATATCAGAGCCCAGTAAGTTGATAGAAATAATGGAGGATATACTAAATAAAAGTCATTAGAAAATCAAATCTATATATTTCTGTTTTCTTGTTTTGTTTCTAAATCCTACTGAATAGATGTACACCCAAACCCCATTCCACACACAAGCCCTCCGAGATAGTGAAATAAAATAAAATTGTAAAAATGTTGTAATCGATAAAACATTTTGCAAGATATAAAAATGTATATCTTATTTATTGTGATCGTACAAATTATTACCTACCTCTAATACCAACGTAGAGATTGAAATGTCTGAAATCTTTCGATATTTAAAGATGGCGTACCCTGGAAGTATTATAAATAATACATGATCAGTGTTTTTAACTGAAAGGTCGACAATGATTTAAAAACGCGTTCAATGTAGACAATAATTTTCAATGCGTTCAATGTAGACAATAATTTGACAATGCGTTCAATGTAGACAATAATTTGACAAAGCGTTCAATGTAGACAATAATTTAACAATGCGTTCAATGTAGACAATGATTTGAAAACGCGTTCAATGTAGACAATAATTTAACAATGCGTTCAATGTAGACAATAATTTGACAATGCATTCGATGTAGACAATGATCTGACAACGCGTTTAATGTAGACAATAATTTGACAATGCGTTCAATGTAGACAATAATTTGACGAAGCATTTAATGTAGACAATAATTTGACAATGCGTTCAATGTAGACAATCATTTGACAACGCGTTCAATGTAGACAATAATTTGAAAATGCGTTCAATGTAGACGATGATTTGACAAAGCGTTCAATGTAGACAATAATTTGACAATGCGTTCAATGTAGACAATGATTTGACAAAGCGTTCAATGTAGACAATGATTTGATCAAACGTTCAAAGTAGACAATAATTTGACAAAGCGTTCAATGTAGACAAGTATTTGATCACGTATTCAATGTAAACAATGATCTGACAGCGCGTTCAATGAAGACAATGATTTGATAACGCGTTCAATGTTAGTTAAAACAAACCGAACAAAATCGCAGGTGTTTCAAAGATAAAATATATTCTTACCAAACAGCTTCCAAAATGATGCAAACTGAAAATAGAAATAAAAAATGGAGTACATGTCATTCACGTTGTGGATCACTTGAAACTACGACACTCATAAGGATTTGGTGTCATTTAAGATGGATTTCCGGTTATCTTTGGCAAATTTTATTATTTACTGTAAATATTAAGTGCTATGGTAATTTTCCAGTGTGAAAACGGGCTGCCAGGTGACCCGATGGCCCGTGTTTCCTCTTGCCCTGACACCATACTTCGACATTTTGAGATAGATGTCTGGTGTGGGGACATATATCTGTATCTGAAATGTATCTAAATACACAACTACTGAGGTTTTTGTCACTTCGTCATGTTGCGTTGAAAAATTAACATAATAGATACATAGTCAAAATAATATATTAGATATTTTGACAGATAGTTGTCATATGTTGGTTCCTCTGGCCCTGACACCAGAATAAGACATTTTGACAGATAGATGTCTGGTGTGGGTTCCTCTGGCCCTGACACTAGACTTAGATATGTTGACAGATAGATGTCTGGTGTTGGGACTTATATCTGTCAAAATGGCCAAGTCTGGTGTGGGCCAGAGGAAACCTCCGATCGGGGAAGTGAGCCCCGGTTTTCTTCATGAAGGCAACTGATCATGAGCTATCCATCACATCACGTATATCGATAACTGACAACTCGTACATAGTGGACGGTGTATATCTGGATAGGACTTCATGAAAAATAGACCTCGGATTTGAGCTTGAATATATGATACGCCTTTCTGGAACTGAAATCAATAGCGAAACTAATGAGGTGACAGTACTTAAAGCAATAGCAAAACTAGTATGGTTACATTATATTTAAATCAATTGCGAAACTAATATAGTACCAATGTACTCAAATCAAAAGCGAAACTAATATGGTACCATTGTACTAAAATCAACAGTGCAACTAATGAGGTACCAATGTACTTAAAACAATAGCGAAATTAAAACGGTACCGATGTACTCAAATCAAAAGCGAAACTAATATGGTACCAATGTGCTTAAATCAATAGCGAAACTAAAATGGTTCCAATGTACTTAAATCAATATTGAAACTAAAATGGTTCCAATGTGCTTAAATCAATAGCGAAACTAAAATGGTTCCAATGTGCTTAAATCAATAGTGAAACTAATAAGGTGCCAATGTACTTAAATCAATAGCGAAACTAATGAGGTGCCAATGTACTTAAATCAATAGCGAAACTAATGAGGTGCTAATATACTTAAATCAATAGCGAAACTAATATGGTTCCAATATACTTAAATCAATAGCGAAAGTAATGAGGTATTAATGTACTTATATCAATAGCGAGACTAATGAGGTGCCAATGTACTTAAATCAATAGCGAGACTAATGAGGTGCCAATGTACTTAAATCAATAGCGAGACTAATGAGGTGCCAATGTACTTAAATCAATAGCGAGACTAATGAGGTGCCAATGTACTTAAATCAATAGCGAGACTAATGAGGTGCCAATGTACTTAAATCAATAGCGAGACTAATGAGGTGCCAATGTACTTAAATCAATAGCGAGACTAATGAGGTGCCAATGTACTTAAATCAATAGCGAGACTAATGAGGTGCCAATATACTTAAATCAATAGCGAAACTATTATGGTTACAATGTACTTAAATCAATAGCGAATACTGTTCCAATATACTTAAATCAATAGCGAAAGTAATGAGGTGCCAATGTACTTAAATCAATAGCGAGACTAATGAGGTGCCAATATACTTAAATCAATAGCGAAACTAATATGGTTCCAATATACTTAAATCAATAGCGAGACTAATGAGGTGCCAATGTACTTAAATCAATAGCGAAACTAATGAGGTGCTAATATACTTAAATCAATAGCGAAACTAATATGGTTCCAATATACTTAAATCAATAGCGAAAGTAATGAGGTATTAATGTACTTATATCAATAGCGAGACTAATGAGGTGCCAATGTACTTGAATCAATAGCGAGACTAATGAGGTGCCAATGTACTTAAATCAATAGCGAGACTAATGAGGTGCCAATGTACTTAAATCAATAGCGAAACTAATATGGTTACAATGTAGTTAAATCAATAGCGAAACTAATAGGGTTACAATGGACTTAAATCAATAGCGAAACTAATGAGGTACCAATGTACTTAAATCAATAGCGAAACTAATATTGTACCAATGTACTTAAATCAATAGCGAAACTAATATGGTTACAGTGTACTCGATTCTACTGCATTTAACAATACAGTATAATGGAACATGTGTACCTACCATAGTCTTGAGGATTGTATAATCTAAATTCTGTTCCTCCGATAGATCGGCATACGGTCTTCTGAAAATCAGTGCAAACAAATAACGAATGCACAAAAGATAACATGGCAAGTTGACGTCATCTTATTTCGTAGTAACTCTAAAAATAGTATCTCTACTTGTTTTCCCCACAATGATTTACTGTTGAGAATTAAAGACTGTTAGTCATTAGCTCTCATGAACTAATACTTTTATAACTCTGAATAACAAGCTGAACTGTCATCATGAGCTAGCTGTGGTGTGTTTTACGTCCATTTTTGTATCATTCGAATGGTCAGTGTTCTTATTTCGTAAACCGCATAGTCCTCATATTTGTTAGCTCATCTTGCCTGAACGGGCAAGTGAGCTTATGTTGTGGAGCAGCGTCCGCCCTACGTTCGATGCCAATGTGTTTTTTTTCTCTCTTTTAAAGTGACATCTTTATCACGTACTTTTCAAATGCGAATTCAGGCTTGTAAATAAAATAAAATTGTCTTCTCTTCCAAAGAATGATGTACGCCCGAAAATCATTTTTGTATAAATTGAATTCGGTTCCTCTATTACAAAATATATCATTCATACATAGTTTGTTTTGTAAAATATACGAGAAACTAGATTCTTCAAATATACTTCTTAACTTTACTTATCCATTTTAGCATAAACTACCGAGTTCAAAATTATTTCACAAAACTCCAGGTGCCTCAGCTCTAGAGTTGCAAAATTGACATAAATATCAGCTACAAGTATAGTGTATCTAAATACACGAATACTAAGGTTTTAGTTATGGCATCTTATGTTGTATCAAATGTTAACATACTACATACATAATCAAATGATATAGTGTAAATTCTCATACTTCTAATGGCCGATCTCTGATTGTGTGGTCACATATCCTATCCTGCCTTCAATTGATCATTGAATTTTCGCTTGTAAGACACGTGCAAGTTTTTATCCAGGGGTTTCCAGTTAGAAACTTACGACAAGTAAGTGTAGTTCGTTCCATTATCCTTTCTGAACACCCAACACGGTGGCACACATATCACGTTTTACAGTATGAAATTGATATTATTATTTTGGAAAATGCTTTGCAATATCAAATATTTTAGAAATATGGCACAATGATGAATCACTTCGTCATAGCGGCGATCAAATATATTGATCAGCTTTCTGGATATCGAACCTCTTAGAACAGTTAACAACCTATATGGACATATCTTTCCCCATCATCAAAAAGATGGAATGGTATGTATTTGTCCACATTATTGGCAGTTTCGAAACTTCAAACATACGCAAACAAATTAGCATTTACCTCACCATGGAGTGTCATGCCCTATGATATAGTATAATACACAAACTGCATGGGAAAACATGAACAATGTTCATAATTAAGATTTTGTTGTAAAACACAATATCTTTTTGGCGTTGAAAACATTAGTTCGATATTCATCAATAAATGTTTGAACAGCAAGAAACAGCGTTTTGAATTATCAAAAGCAACTCTTTTATTTGTCATTTTTTGCGCCTATAACCTCCACACTGAAGACCACCATTTGGGGTTTCGGGCTTCAGACGGCTAAATCAGGATGTATGTTTACATTTTGGACAAATCATAGTCTTACAGCCACCGTCATGTTCGATGTACATTTCACATTTTGGGCATGCGCGAACTTTTGGAACCATTGGTATGTTGCTATATTCCATCGTGACCTGTTCGCAGGTATCAAGTAATTCTTGTGTGAGCTTTCTTGTTGTGGCTCATTACAGTCCCAGCAAAATGTAAAGAAATCGCCGTTTCCGCTACAAATCGTACACATAACCTGTCGGTTTTTTGTATTAAGTCTGGTACAGTAACTTTTACATTCCGGACAGTCACGGATGTCATCTGACTGATCGATGCAGACATTGTTCATTTTTCTGTAGTAAAACACACATTCGTCGTCAGACATGTCAGCTTTAACGGAAATTTCTGTAAATTCCAATATGGTCCTGCACTCCGCACATCATAACTGCTGAGTTTGGTCAGACAGTACCTATACAGGTTTTCCGGGGCTGAAATACAATTCAGAAAAGTACAATGAAGACATTGAAGCTGTTCTCAGGCTTAAACTGCTGGTCCGGTGATGAATCAATAAAATATCACATTTCGTTAATGGTTTGGAAGAGTTTCTGTGGGGAATAAAAGTTGAATTCCGCCTTCAATGTTTACACCAGATCTTTTGACCTTGTCACATAATTTAATTGTGTTACAAGAAAATAAGTTTGAGCACTGAATTTACGCTTGAGTCTGAGAACAGTTTCATGAATACGGGCCCTGAATATTAATTTCCAACTGTCGATGCATTTCAGAATCAAAGACATAAACAAAAAGTTTGACATAATTTATTATCCAGCTGATGAAGTTTTCAAATTAAACAAGATCATGACTGTTCAGCTGAAACAGTCATAAGCACGCCTGTTTAAGAATATCTGGAAATTTACAAATGTTTTTTATTTGTATTGCTGGTTCATGGAAAAAGAATAATATAATATGTGTAATATTTATATGATTATCCGTTTCATAGAATTCCAACCATAATGGATAAATTAGCAAATACAAATTGACAAAATTTAAATTTGAACAAACTTTGTAGCGCTTCATCCCAACATGCTACTGGCCAAATATCATCACCCTAGGCCTTTGGTTATTCTGGAGAAGTCGTTTAAAAAATCCAACTCATTTAAGTTGTTTAAAGGTTTTAAACATAAGTGACCCCTGTGACCTTGAATATAAATCAAGGTTATTTATTTGAACAAACTTGGTAGCCCTTCATTTCAGCATGTTACTGGCCAACTATCATCACCCTAGACCTCTTGGTTATTCAGAAGAAGTTGTTTAAAGATTTTAACATATTTGACCCCTCTGACCTTGAAAATGGATGAAGGTCATTCATTTACACAAACCTGGAAGCCTTTCATGGCAGTATGCTTCCTGCCAAATATCATCGCCCTAGGCTATTTGGTTATTTAGAGTCATTTAAAAAGATTTCAACATATTTGACCCCTGTGACCTTGAATACAGGGGTCAAATATCATCACCCTAGGCCTCTTGGTTATTCAGAAGAAGTTGTTTAAAGATTTTAACATATTTGACCCCTCTGACCTTGAAAATGTGTGAAGGTCATGCATTTGTAAAAGTTGGTAGCCCTTCAACCCAGCACGCTACTGCTTAATATCATCGCCCTTATGCAATTTGGTTATTCAGAAGAAATCGTTAAAATACTTCAACATAGTTGACCCCTGTGACCTTGAATGTGGGTGAAGGTCATTCATTTCAATTTACCTGGTAGCTCTTCTTGCCAGTGGGCTTCTGGCTAAATATTATCACCCTAGGCCTTTTGGTTATTAAGAAGAATTCCTTTGAATGTTTTATAAGACTATGTGTTGGATTTCTCCTTACACAACACAGAGCTTGACCAGGTACAGTCTGCTAAACTGTTTGGTGTAAAGGTTGATAAATGTTTAAGTTGGGAAGACCATGTTAACTCCTTGTCGGGGAAATAACTTAAAGTCAAGTTCTACTGGGCCGATTTAACTGAAACTTCGTAGGAATTATCAACTAATGGTCCTGGCAAAGTGTTGTTATTTTTCAGGTTGATCAGAAGTCCAAAATCGCCACCACAGCAGCCATTTTGAAAAGTAATTTTCAAACTTAAAGTCAAATTCTACTGGGCTGATTTAATTGAAACTTGGTATGAATGATCAACTCATGGGCCTGACAAAATGCTGTTATTTTTCGGGTCGATCAAAAATCCAATATGGCGGCCACGACTGGACATTGTTGTGTTTCAGGGTTCCAAGGTCAAGGCCAATGTCACTGTTGCTATATATAGAAAATCATAAACTGATTCAATTTAAACACTTTTAATTAGCAACTTCATTCTTTCATGGATTTTGGTCAAACTTTATGCACATGTCAAGCATGAGTATACTTCGGACATTGTTGTGTTTCAGAGTTCCAAGGTCAAGGCCAAGGTCACTGTTGCTATGCATAGAAAATAATCGACTGATTCAATTTAAACACTTAGCAACTTCATTCAATATCTTATGGAGATGGTAATAACATGCAGAAAAAACATATGATTATTAAAATCAACTTATCAACTTTAAGTGTAGTACCTTGTGTGTGTGCATGTTTCAGGGTATCAAGATCAAAGTGGATGTAACTTTATGTCTTACAGTCATTTTTCTAGTTTTACTCAAATTTTGGTAGGGATTATTGACATCATTATCTCCACTTCATATTTCAACAACAAAAACTAATACTTTAGGACTCGGGTGACCGTTAAGGCACATGGGCCTCTTTTTTATCTTCTCATACTCTATACATACAGTGTGAAACGATAAATGTATTATACTTGTACATACTGGGCCCACTTGTATAAAACATCTCAACTCTTGAGATTTCCTCAAGTCTAAGATTTCCCATAGACAACTTACATTGCTTGAGATTTTCCTTAACTTTGAGATGTTTTATACAAGTGGGGCCTGAAGTCATAATGTTACATATCGTATATGTTGTCTAAAACAGGAAATGACTTAAGCAATGTTGGTTCAACTTGTGCCCAATCTGTTTGCCTTTATATGTGTAACTCGTTGCAATAAACTATTACGATAAAGCACGGAACTAGGTCCGTGGATAAAGCTACACTAAATACATTGTACATCTTTTAATTACGACTAATAAATAAAATAAGGTGTGGCAAGACGTAGAAATATGTATTTTTAAAGCTAAATAACTTGTATAAAGTGTCCCGAATGGGACATATATGTAAGGGCAATACTTTCATTATCACTGACTTCAAATAATAGGCCTATATATGGTAGCATCATTTTAAACTGGAGTGCAGATAATCTGGCATTAAGGGAAACAATTAAATTGTTCTGTCACAAATTATGTCAAATTATACTTTTGTTATTTAAATGAACACATGTTTAACTTGTGTGTCATAAATATCATACATAAAGTTGACTGCATGAGTATATATCTTTCTTTACAAAAAGTTCAAAGTACAAAATAATAGACGCAAAGAAAATCATTTTAATAACACTCCCTATAGGTAACACGTATGTCAGAAAAATAAAGATTATTCACAATACCTATGCTATGGAACTGAAAAACTTGTCACAATATGGCCGCCGGTCACACGCGCTGTAGTCTCCGCCATTTTGATCTCGAAACAAGTTCTCGTTTGCCGAATCTCGAACAAACGTTATATTTTTGCAAGGTTTAAAACGTATATCTAACTCTAAATATTTGCATCTAAGTATAGAATACTTAAATATTTGATACTTTCCGGTTTAAGATGTAAATTCTCTTGATATACCTAAACGAGTTTCCATTGATTTGATTGGTCGAAAATTATTGTGTCGTCTGCATCGAGAAAACGGAATATCAACAAACCAACGTGCTGCAGGTTGTCAACAAAAAGGGAGTCAATCGCAATATCAGGTTTATCAAAGTGACGCAAAATGATAGGATAAAAAACATACAAGCATTGTTATAAGAATTTAGGCATTTTAAACAGATATTTTGCATGAAAAAAAAAATAGAAGAAGAAAATTAAATCCAAGGATAACAATTTCATTTTTGATTAGGCCTACTAACGTTATCTCACAACTATTTTTTATTCATAAAAAAATTTCGGCATGTTTTGAAAAAAAAATCTATACAGTTTTATGTGCTGAACTGATTCAATTGTTAATTGAGGAAACAATAATTTTCTCTATTGCTAAAACTATACATATAGTCAGTAAGTTGCTGATATATATATGATACATAGTTCACATTAATTTAGCGTAAAAATTCAACAACTCGTATAAAGATGAAACATTCTACAAACCTCGACCATGACCATTGCTATACCTCAAGCACATGTAATCCGGCTACAGATATGCCAAGAGTGGGGGAAATAAATCATGACCATAGTTACACCTCCGCTAAAAGTGCATGCTCAGTTGGTACACATGTATCAAATGTGGAGCAATGCAATTTGATCACTCCTACTCCTGCTCTGAAGGCAGAAAGGGTACGTGTGATCTTGGAATGGCATTGCCTCTATTTGATCTAGAGACCCTATCAAGTGACTCAATGAACAATGCCAAACTATTATCGAAAATACAAATTTCGAAGTTTTCAATGTCCCAGGGGATGGAAACTGTTTTTGTCATTGTCTAAGTCTTGCTTTTCATGGTCATGTAAACAATGCAATTGGTTACAGAAATAGAATTTGTAGATATGTTTATGAAAACTTTGATGTGCACAAAGACACAGCTATGATGATGCATGATTATGACACAGATATAACAGCAGCAGAAAAATACTGGAAAGAAATGGTGCAGGATAGAGGTTGGGCAACAGTTCTTGAAATTAAGGTTGCTGCAATCTTATTTAACATAAAAATTAATGTGTATCTCCAGAACTATTACAATACACAATCAGTGCATCCAAGTAGGAACAAAAACAAGTTTACGTTCGAGTCTTATGCCCCTGATGTACAAATTTCAGGAAACAAGACTGTTACTCTGTTGCTCAACAACAGCCATTTTCAAATTTTGCACAAAACAACAAATCCCAAACCACCACCATCACAAAACACATCTCATGCACACAAAAATGTAAATCATGAAATTCATGAATCAAATCACTTCACAAACAGACTGAATCAAAAGAGTACAAATACAAAAAGAAAACACTATCTACACAAGAAGACATAATCAACCCTGTTCCTTTCAAAACACCTAAAAGACATGTTAACCAGAAGAAACAATATCTTGAACAAAACACTGAAATAATCCAGTTAGATCCTGAACCTGGTTTAGAAAATTCAGATAAAACTTCCACTCAAAATCCACATGTCACCACAAATGTAGAAAACAGCATCCCAATGCAATCAAACATATATGACCCTAGTACAACAGATTTGTACTTAAAATGCAGAAAACTTGGCATTCACTATGACCCTGAACCTCAGAACAAAGCAAATAACTCAAATATCTTAAGAAAAAGGAAATACTTGCGTCAAATTGAAAGAGTCCAACAAAATCTAAACATCAAATTAGATGATGTTCCTAATCCACCCCCGTTACAAGATGATGGACATTTCAATTTTGCTATGGATGCAATACGTGCATTTGAACTAAAAGAAAATTCTTACACGTTTAGTGTATGTATCATTTGTAACGAAAGAAGGTTAGAGATGAAAATGGCATCCCAAGGCATTTGTTTTCGATGTTCAAAAGACAAATCTTCCATAAAACAATTTTCCTCTGAAAACAATATGGATCCACAATCTGTACCAGCTCAGCTAAAAGACTTGACATTAGTTGAACAGCAATTAATTAGTAGGATATCACCTGCTATCAATATACACATGCTAAAACATGGCGGGATTGCAGCCAATGGTCACTGTGTAGCATTTCCACAACAAATTAATGAACCTGCCCGAATCTTACCAAAACTTCCCTCTGAAATAAATATGCTGAAAGTAAAAAGAAAGGGAAAAAATGAAAGTTATAAGGAACATCGTGTCAGGAGGTTTACTGTGCAAAACGCTCTGATCTGGCTCAAAAACAATAATCTGGCATATTCCGATATCACAATAAGCCAAGATAGACTCAGTCAGCTCCCTCTTGACAGCACCTTAGAGCTTCAAAGTCTAGAAATTGATTCTATAGAAACTAGGGTAGATGACCAAGGTCCAGCTCCCCAGCAAGTAGATCCCGGGACAACAGATGGTCTATCTGAATCAGGCGTTCTAATTCCTGAGCCAAATCTTGACATCAATAAAGAATTACAAACTGTGGTGGAAGACATTATTAAACAAAATGAGAAATCAAGTTCTAAAACATCAGTCATAAAAATACCATGGCCAACGAGGGATAACATTCCAATCTCTGAATTTACAACTAAGTACTTCTTTACTCTTGCCTTTCCATGTTTGTTTCCCTATGGCACTGGAGATTTCCATGTAAATAGACCACATACCTTCAATTCTATGGCAGACTGGGCTGATCACCTGCTTTGGTACAGGGATGGACGGTTTGCAAGACATTCCTACTTCAAGTTCATTGTACACAACATTATAATAAGAAAGAGAACACTTGAGCAAAGTACATACATTGTTAAGCAACAAATTGGCGATGAACACATGACAATATCTGATTTAAAAGAGCAACTACAAAATGGCAACATCAACATTCCAGAAAAAATTCTGTATTTTGGGGCAAATTTGCGAGGTACATCACAGTATTGGGCACAACGGGCCAAAGAACTGAGGGCTCTCATTCAGTATCAAATAAATGAGGGAAATGGATTGCCAGCTTTCTTCACCACAGGAAGTTGCGCTGAATTCTACTTTAAGACTTTACACAGGCTTCTACAGATTTATACATTTGAAACTACCAAAGAAAAAGTTGACCTTTCAAACCGTAGCACACTTTTTTCTGTTTTGCAAGCCAATGCCCATGTTGTTGCTCACTATTTTGAACTCAGAACTCAAAATTACTTTAAAGAAGTCATGGGCCCTGTCTTTAAAGTAAACACATACTGGTACAGGCAGGAATTTGCAAAGTCCCGTGGAATGGTTCACTGGCATGGCTTGTGTTGGCGTTCTGACCGTGAACCACACAATTTAATGTCCTCACTCATTGAAAAAGGACTTTCTGATGATGACTGTGCTGAACATCTGTCACAATGGGCCAAATCCAACTTTGGAATGACAGCTTGCCATCCTGCAGGCAAAGATGAAACAGGAAACTCAAAGAAAGACCTATGGCCCCCGCCTGAGGGAACAGGACCTCCTCCACCTGAGGAAAAAAATCCTCTTTTAAAGTTACTTATGGATGTTAGTGAATCACAGGAATCTCTGCTTGAGGACCATCTCCTTCTCACCAACAGGGTTAATATTCACAGATGTTCTGATTACTGCCTGAGATTACCAAAAATAGCAGATCATCAAAAAGAGTTTGTCGTATGGAATTTGGCACAGAAGATAAACCAGGGAAAGCACTGCGTGCCACACCAGCAGTAGTTAGAGATAAGAACCGTTCATTAAGACTGGAGATGGAGCGATATCATCCCACAATGGTCCAACATTCACAGTTTCATACACAGGGGTGGAGAGCTAATGGTGACATTTCTATTATTCTTTCAAAAAGCAACCCAGAGAATCCCTCTGTAGATGAAATTATTGCAACAGAACGATATGTATCTGGTTATGCTTGTAAAGGGAGTCAGCCTACGGGTGCTCTTGTTGACCTTTTCCATGATCTGGTAAACGATCAAGATGAAAATTCTGGTGCAAATGTTAAAAGTGTCTGTACAAAACTTTTGATGAATACTGTCAAACGGGACATATCCAGTATTGAAGCTTCCTTTGAGTTAGCACGTCTTCCACTCTTCAGATGCAGTCACCAGTTACAATCTGTTAGCCTTTCAGGTTCTAGAGTTCTTGAAAAAACTGGTTCCACCATAACCAAACATACCCCTCTTGACAAGTACCTTCAAAGACATGATAAAGACGAGAGTTCTTGGTACCAGTTTATCTGTAAGTTGGGCAAAGTCCCAGTTATTTCTGGTAGTCAAGTTAGAGCAATGTGGCCACTAACTGAAGATTACTGCCGCACAATGATGCTACTTCACAAGCCAGATTGGAGAAAAATCAGTGATGTAAAGAACAATAGTGACAACTGGGTTCAAGCATTTTCAAATTTCTTGTCACTGGAATCTTGTCCAAACTTTATTAGGGCAGATGTTGAGAGAGCAAAGCGGCATGAAGAACCTGATGCCAGAATCTCAGATGATGAAGAAAGCGAACAAAATTCAAACACTGAAAAACCAGAATGGATGGATCTTTTAGCACCAAATCCTGACTTGGACTACAATTGTCCTCAATTTGTTTATGACGATGGAGGACCAGATTACGATTGGAGTTCAGAAACCATTCCTTTCCCAAATGACAAAGGCATAAAGTTTATTGAAAATATCAATGTACCGCTTGCAGACAGTGATACCAGCAGTACACTAGATCTTCCTAATGTTTCACACTTATCTTTGAATGAAGAACAAACATTTGCTTATAATCTTGTTATGAATACTCTTATTCACTACAAACAAGACTCTTCAAATGTAAAACCATTGAGGATGATCGTTGCTGGCACTGCAGGGTCAGGAAAGAGTTTTTTGATAAAGTGTATAGTGAAGTCTATCAGGGAGCTTTTTCAATATAACAAGGCTGTGCAAATCCTGCGTCCGACTGGAAATAGCGCTAATCTTATTTCTGGGATTAAACTGCATAGGACCTAAATCAGCCAAGGAATTGACTCCTCCTGTAGGTAGTACACTTTCTAAGCTTCAGAGCGATTGTGATGGGGTACTTGCCTTAATTGTTGATGAAAGATCTCTTGTAGGTTGCACTACTCTTGGGTGGATGGAATACATTAGTCGTTACAGTATGAACAATGGTTCTATGTCTTCTTCGTTATGGGGTGGTTTGCCTGTAGTTGTGTTCCTAGGTGATGATGTACAACTGCCACCAGTATGTGATTCTCCTGTTTACAACTGTAAGAGTACGAAACCTGCTGCACTTCATGGTGCAATTGTCTGGAAAGAGTTTAAAACAGCAGTCACTCTTTCAAATATTATTCGACAAAATGAGAACCAGACACAACTTAAAGATGCTTTACTGGCACTACGGAATTATAGTTTGTCAGCTAATCAAGCTAAATGGCTACAAAACTTCCAGTGGGACACATTACGAATGAATTGTGGTCAGTTATTGCTTGACAGGATGACAAAAAATGGTTTGTTTGTTTTTCCAACACATGCAGCAGAATGGGAGCACAACAAAAACCAACTGCTCAAAGCAAATGAAATTTCACCTATCACCTATCGCCAGAATCACATCAATAGATCAAGGTCAGCATTGCAAGACAGCATCAAGTGACTCGACCAATGGTCTCGTAGGAACACTCTTCTTGTGCAGGGGTGCCAGAGTTATGCTTACAGTAAACTTGAATGTGAAATACGGATTGTTCAATGGTTCCATGGGACAGGTGGTTGATATTCTTTATCTGAATGGGAACACTTCATGTGATAGCCTCCCATATGTTGTCATTGTGGAATTTACAAAGTATACCGGTCCACCATTTATTGACAGCCACCCAAAACTTGTGCCAATTGTTCCTGTTGAGAGAAAAATAGATTGCAACTGCTTTCATTGTAAAAGAAAACAAATTCCTCTCAGGTTAGGATGGGGAACAACAATTCATCGTTGCCAAGGTATGACGATAGGGAATGGTGAGGCACACAGATACATAGTCATTCATCCTGGTAATAACCAATTTGAAGCTAGAAATCCAGGGGCATTGTTTGTAGCACTCTCTAGAGCAAAATCAGCTGGTGGAGATGGAGAAGATCCTGACTTCGCTTGGCATCCTCATGTTTTGGTCAATGAGGACAGACTATGTCAAAAAGTTTGCACTTACACTACCAGGGCACGCACAAAGGAAATTGAAAGAATACAATCACTTTGTGATATCACTAAAAACACATATTCCCATATTTTGTGTAAACATGATAACTTCAGGAATGAATCCCCGATGGAAGAATAAAATACCCAACTGTATTACATGTAGTTTGTTGTACATTAACTCCAGTGGTGGGTGATATGTCAATCGCTAACCCTAAGTTTACCATAAACTTACACAAATTCAATCCCCTTTTCATGTATAAATCTCAAATGCATACATATTCTCATCTTTTGTGTTAACATGATTTCTTCAGGATTGAATCCCTGATGGAACAATAATGTACACAACAAATTGTGCGAAGATTCAAATAAATTCTCTTGGGATGCCATTTCAAACGGAACATACATCAAGTGTTTCAAAAACTATTGAATTGATGACTACTTAATGATTTACTATTTCATCCTTGCCTATTTCACTGTCTATAGCACTATTTTACATGATATATTTGGATACAGTTTTCATCATGTTTCATATATGTTTGAATTTCTCATGGAGAGAAGATTAAAATTTATCCCTGTACAATTTTATTTCACTCTAATGTAGGGTGATCATCGATCGCAAACCCTTAGATGTTGTGTAACTCATGTACCTTTTTTTATAATCTTATAATTTCCACAAACAAATAAACATGATAAACTTCTACTTAATTAGTTAACTGTAGGTATCAAAATTTTAAAAGTTCACAAATAAAAAACACAAAAATTGTAAAATACTATGCATAAATTCTCTCTGGATACAATATTTATAAATCAAGAGCTTGATCCTTGGTATGGCTTGAAGTTAAGTTTGAAGTTATCCAAAGGACTTATTCTTAAAGATATATACATATATATATGTATATATCGTTTCAAGGATATCAGAAAACTATGCTAGTATACATGATTTACAATATCTATCCTAATATGGTTATTTCATTGTCTTTGTAGAATATGCGGCACTTGCTTTTTGCAATGGATTCAAGAGGTGCAAAGTTAGATACTTATTTAGAGTCTAATGGACCTTTTGCATTCTCACATAAATGTCATGTCATCATACGCCCAGGTGGAAAACTTCAAGATATCAAACATCATGTCAGTCAGAAAATCGACAACATCACATATTCTGATAAACTGCGCAAAATTTGGATTGTCCTTGCTGCAGGCATTTGTAATTTAACAAATAAAATTACTCATTCCGGTGGAACTGAGATACAGTATGTTAGATCTACAGTAAACGTGCAGTCTATCATTTCTAAATTTAGAGATATTTCAAATTATTTTCAGTCACTTGAAAATGTTTTTGTGAAATTCACATGTATTCCATCTGTTTCTCTTGAAAAAAATTGTGATTTCAATACATTTAAACGAAAACTGCAGTATTCTATGTATTCAGAAGAGGAAAGACAACTACAGCAAAAACACTTAGAGGAAGATCTGAAAACTAATAACTCTGCGTTACTTGCTTTTACCACACCTGTGAGATGGGATCGCGACCTTTTGATATGTTCCACAAAGAAACGTGGTAGAAAAAACAATACATCAAAAAATGTATGAAGACATCATACAAAGATTTGTATGATGGAGTGCATCCTAATGATGTGCTGTCAAATAAATGGTATTATTTCATGTGTTTGTCTGTCGCTAGTGACATAGAAGTAAAACAAGCAATTCAATTTGAAGAAGCAATAAATGATACTGACTCCAATTTCAATGAAAATGACTCTTGGGACTTCAAGCGAAATTAATTTGTAACCACGTATGAAAAAACATGTAGCAAATTCCATTTTGTATATATATAAGTGAGGTGGGTGACATGCCAGTCGCTAACTGCACGTTTTAACTCAGCTGAACCAGGGAAATTCCTGATAAAACTTTGTCATCTATTTCTTTATTGTTGTGTTAGTAAACTTTTAATATGTTTGACTTTTCAAGAACTTAAGACAATTTTTAACCAATCTTGGTCAAAAAGCATTCTTGCGTTATTTTGTAATAAATTTTAGATAAAATCCCATATATATATAAATATTTTCATCATGAAATCAGCTAAATAAAAGCATATCCTATCATTTTGTCAATCTTTAAAATGAGGAGCATATATCAACTTATTATACGTATACATGTTATGACAACAAGAACAACCTGGAAAGGAAGCATGGTCATTTTGTGTGTTAACTTGTTGATAATATTTTAACCTATTTTAAGTAAATGTAAAAATGCAGTTTATTCAATTGGTTTCTTACTCCCTCAGCATACCAACTGCAATCTTTCATTATGTTTACAGGCATTTCATTCTGATTCGTCGACATTTTCAACAGGCATAGCGATACAAGTTTTTCCAATCTTCCATCAAACTCCAAGTCAAGACAAACTGAATCCGGAGGTTTTCAAGGTAAATAATTTTATATAATCATCATAACTTAAAACAGATGCATTATATACACTATCATGACTATGTGCATTTTAAGAATTACACATTTTTCTTTTCTTTTTTGAGGGGCTTTATGGCCCCTACTGTGTGTAATGTGTATAGCCAGTGCTACAGTACACTACAATAAAGAAAGGAAACTGTAATATACACTATAAAGCTATATATACATGTAGGTCTGATTGAGTAATTTAACATATCACTCAATGCTTGAACATTTACAACCTGGCTCCGCCCTCACTAACGGCCGTGCCGTAAAACATATTTTTATGCGTCCATGCTTATATACATAAATTTGAATTGATTTTATTTCTATTTTTTCTCAATTTCTCTTTGGAGAAAATAATAATCAGACGGCAAGCATGTAATCGATCATGATTTTTTAACGTTAAACGTCACGGTGAGACAGACTATTGATTACGGAAGTCATCTTGCACTTCCAAACGCATGCGCAACCAAAAGGAATATGTCAGATGAGAAACATGCAGCCGAGTCAGAAAAATGACTGACAAAGGTTTATACACACCGAAAGAAATACATAATTGGTAGACAGAGACTAAGTAATTGTACAGGGACAACATGTCGTCCTTATTTTGCAGTATTGCTGACATGTTCTGTCTCAGAACAGTATATACAGGGAACGAGTGATGTTTGTCATCCCGTCTCTGAATCTCATAAACATAATTTTCCATCGACATCGAAACGGACCTTTTTAATTAGTCTGTTCCAAAGATCTCGTCATAATGGAGAGAAAATCAGCCGACAGTTCTGGAGATGTAGACAATGGTGTCATTGAGATCATTCCGATGGATGAATACGACTCGCAGAAGGTAAATACATATATGGGACATGATTCATAAATAACAAATGTCGCGGTTGAATTCATTTGAAATATAAACAAAGTCATCAGCGTGTTTTACTACAGTTACGACGGGTACAGTTAAACTGTTACGAACTTTTTTTTATGTTTCAACTGGCCTACCTTGGCTAGCGTTGTTCTGTTATAAATTCCTCTGATCTACATACTGAAGTGGTGAGTGACAATGAGTTGAATGTTGTTTACAAGCGAATCTGTTCCATAAATATCTTGTGACATATGCTATTGACTATAAAGCAATTGATTAAGTTACTCAATAATTATAAAGAAATATTAAAATCTACTTCGTTCTTTGCAAAGGAGTGTCGCTAAATCATGTAGGTTTTGGTTTTGTTATTCAAAACAGTGTCAGGTGTTTTATTGAATCCTGGTTTGTTTCACCCTAAATCCTGTTTACACTACTGAATAGTATAGGTTATTTTGGCCTAAAAATATCATGTTAAATCAGGTATGCTGTGTTGAGATCTGCCGTGAACCAAAAACAATCTCAGTTGAGTTCAGTAACGAACCAATTCTATCGATAATGGATTATCAACCTATCACTCATACTAAACTAGCTAGAAAAAAAATTCATATCCAACAACATATTTTCCCAAACCTGTACATGTGGAAACACGGATGAAGTTTCCCATTTTTTGCCAAATGCTGGTGATATTTTGCAAATTCCTTCCCAGGGGCCCTTTCCCAAAATAGCTGGCAAAAACCTTGCAGCCTATCACTAAAGCCATCCACTTGGATTAAAATAGCTAGAAAAAGATTCTTAAAAAAAGATAGGGTGAAGCAATCTAGCTGAAAACAATAACGTTGAACAGCATTTAGGGCGTAACAACCTGACATTGTACTATTCAACTATTTTTTTCACCCAGAACATACATTGCCCTTCTAATTTAATTCCTCTTGATCAAGTCTAACAATCTCGACGCTTATCCAACAACATTGTTGTGGTAATCATGATTCCATGACTTGAGTTTTACTTTATATCTTATCTAGCTATAGCACTTCTGTACAGATATATAAAATATGCCAATAATAAAAATGGAATCCTTTTATATTTCTTTTTACATTTCTTAAATTTAATTTGATAAGTAGAAATTTAAAAAGTTGCTATATCTGCTTGCTTAGAAATACCTGTAAACAGTTAACTAGCTATATAGTGCTTTACAAACTGGTAGGCATTTGTACATGTGTAAACAAAAATATGAATGTGTTGTCCAGTCTAGTTCTCCAAAACTATTTTTACCCATTGAGAGAAAATAAAAGACTACAAAGATGTGCCAAGGAAACATTTGATTTGATAATTCATAGTTTTCTATCTCAAAGGATTGTTTGTAAATGATGCTTTCAGCTGGGACCTCTGGATTCCATGCATTCAAACTTTGGTTGTCATATGACCTGTTATGGGCCTCCATATTTTTCTTCTGATAAACCAAAATTTCAGAAAGATCTACCAAGTTCATCTCAAGAAATAGCTATAACAAACATTAACTGTCAAAATCATATATATATATATAGTACTGCCTGTTTTTCATCTTGTATTTCAGTTTAAAAATGAAACATGCACATCTACATATATATAAAATTAAAGGTGAACCTTCATACGGAATTTGAGGAAGATCTGACAGGTCCTTCTTAAGAAGTAGCGATAACAGACTTTAATTGTCAAAATCCAAGATGACTGACGAGCTGGTGACCATTTTGTTTTTTTCTAAGCAGTCTCAAAAGAAAACACAAACAACTTAAAATGAAGGGAAAATCTTCGTATGCAAATTGAGAAAGATCTGTCCTGACTTTGCGAAATACTCAAATAGTGATAAAGGTCTATGGATGACTGATGGACTATCACAGATGAATGATGACTTGAATAAACCAATGACTGGTGGGCTAATTTATAAAGTAAACTTTGAGCTTATGTTGAGTTTAGTACTCTCTTGTTATTTTATCATAAAAGGAAAATTATAAATATGGCAGCTGTGACATTGTGGTTTGTATTCAAACTCTTAAATTTTACATAAGCTTGTATCCATATATATAGGAGACCCTGTCCTGAGAGCTATATATAAATAAATATTGATACATTTTTTTTAGCTCACTTGGCCCTTCACTTATGGTAGCAGTATACAGAAGAGGGTTGTGGCCATGGGTGATATTTTTGTTAAATGGCTAACCACTGTATAATGATATGTAAAAAAAATATAAAAATAAAACTGTACTAAAATTGGTATAGGCATGATGAAGTGGGCTATGTGAGCTTCACATTTGTAAAAAAGAAAGAAATTTTTTTGGTTCGAGAATAAAATTTTGGCCATAATCCGAAAGGGTGGGTACACATGAAAAGCTAGCTTTACAGGAGGTAAAATTTTGACAACAGCACACGACGCAAAATTGCAAAAAATCAAGTTTACAACTTTAATGGGACCCAGATAATTCTGCAACCAGGTAGGTAATCTTTAATTTCAGACAGAGCTTAGGAAAAAAATTACTAGTTGCGGGGGTCAAATTTTGGGTTAAAATAACAATTTTTGACATTTTTTGGTAATTTTTGATGTGGTAACCATGGTTTTCACACAAGTGACGTACATAGAAAAAAGAGGTTTATACACTTCTCAGTACTTTATATGTAATGTAAATGTAATGCCGTTTACAAATATATATACATGTATACATGTGTTGTGTAGGGTAAATCCGCTGTGTTTACATTTCCTCGACATGTGCCTTGTTTATCAGAGTTGGGCCATTTCTACTGTATACTGCTACCTATGCAATGGTGCGACGTCCAGCGTCAGTCTGGCGTCAGCTTTTCACTTGAAACAACTTCTCATTTGTCAATAACCAAGAGGCCTAGAGTGATGGTATTTGGCAAGAATCATGCTGGGAAGAAGGACTACCATGTTTATTCAAATGGATGACTTTCACCCATTTTCAAGGTCACAGGGGTCAAATATGTTTAAAACTTTAAACAACTTCTTCTGATGAATAACCAAAAGGCCCAGGATGGTAATATTTAGCCAATCTCATGCTGGCTTGAAGGGCTACCAAGTTTGTTCAAATGAATGACATTGGCTTATATCCAATTCAAGGTCGCATGGGTCAATTATCTAAAAAAAGGCTTTCAAACAACTTCTCCTGAATACCTAAAAGGCCCAGGGTGATGATATTCGGCCAGTAGCATGCTGGGATGAAGGGTTACCAGGTTTGTTCAAATCAATGACCTTGACTTATATTCAAGGTCACAGGTGTCAAACATGTTAAAATCTTTAAACAACTTCTTCTGAATAACCAAAAGAACCAGGATGATATTTTGCCAGTAGCATGTGGGGATGAATAGCTACCAAGTTTGTTCAAATGAATGACTTTACCCATATTCAAGGTCACAGGGCCGGTCAATTGTCTTAAACAATCTTTAAACAATTTCTTCTGTATAATCAAAATGCCCAGGATGATGATATTGCGCCAGAAGGATGTTGGCATGAAGGGCTACGAGGTTTGTTTTAATGAATGCCCTTTGCCCATATTCAAGCTTAAGGTCACAGGGGTCAAATATGTTGAAATCTTTTAACAACTTCTGAATAACAAGAAGGCCCAGGATGATGATATTTGGCCAGTAGCATGTGGGGAATAAGGGCTACCAAGTTTGTTAAAATGAATGACCTTTGTCCATATTCAAAGGTCACAGGGGTCAATTGTCTTTAAAACATTTAAATGACTTCTGATGAATAACCAAAAGGTCTAGAGTGATGATATTTGGCAAGAAGCATGCTGGGATGAAGGGCTTCCAAGTTTGATCAAATTAATGACCTTTGCCTATATTCAAAGTCACAGGGGTCAAATATTTTGAAATCTTTTAAACGACTTCCAGGGTGATTGTTTGCTTATGTGAATGACCTTGACCCACTTTCAAGGTCACATCTGGTAAATTGTACAAAAATATTTAAAAGTCATCTTCTCAATAAACAAAAGATATAGGGTGGTTATATTGGGCAATTTGCATTTTGGGATGAATTAGGGCTATACAGTTTGTTCAACTTAATGTCCATGTTTGACTTTCAATGTCACGGGTCAAATAAGTATAAATTGTTTAACAGGTTCTCTTGAATGACTTTAAGTCAAGACACTGATAGTTTGCCTGTAGCTTTAGTTCATTTTTAAAGTAACAATTGTGAGATTAATTCCAGGTGAGCGATGCAGGCCCATTGGGCCTCTTGTTTTAGGTAAAAAGGCTGTACTAAAATGCTTGTCCAAACACCTGTCTTATGCCACTGGATGTCAGGCAAAGATGTGCATGCATACACTTTGTACAGTGTATTTACTGTGAGATTGTTATTTGTAACGTTTTGCAAGATTATATAGCTAAACATCTAGAGTATAATAGAAATTTGGCTACCACAAATGATGTTGAGAAATAGCTATATAGGTATTAAGTTTGGCATCAAAGGAAATCTCACCAGTAGGGATGCACGTTCACTAGTTTATATATGTGATATATATATCCGAATGAAAGTATTGATTGGTTGTTGTCTGTTGCGCAGCCATCTGTATGTGTAAGGCACTTAATTGTTCATCAGGAAAACAGCACCTACACATTGCTGCAGGACACACAATTACAATGTGCAACACTGTATATTATATATATATGGGTTACTCCTACAAGTGTGTTCTGTCTTCACCCAGTCACTACTTTCATATATCAGCTCATGATCAGGCTAGCTCTACACTGCATTTAGTTAAACTTTAAAATTATTTGCCCCTGGCTTCTTTTGCAGCCTAATGCTTACCTTCAAAATATAATGTACATTGATGAAGGTCCCCTTGACCTTTAATTCTTCACAATTCCATTAAACCTATTCTGGTGATTAATATATATATACATGTATTAATAGTATTAATATATATATATAACACAGTTTCACTATATTGTCATGTCATGATTTGTGTGAGAGTTGTAATATTTCCCTT